ACAAAACCCTTTTTCTCTCACAATAAGGCAGAACCAAATGTTTTAGCCAAGTCCTCCTCCTTATTATGAGGAAATGCCAGGAAGATCCCCAAAAGGAATTAAGTCTTTTCCTAAAGCATTCCATTTAGCTGCATTGCCCCGAGCAGCTCTCCGCAGCCTCCACTGCCAGCTGACATCTGCCTGTGTCAAGTCGCACTGTCCCCTTGTCGTCTGCCCTGAGGAGGAGGGTCATCTTCTCAGAACTCTGATGGGAAGTCACCAGGGCCTGGTCTCTGGGTGGATACACCGCCCCAAGGAGGGCTTCTAACTCCTTCCAAAATGTTATGCCACGTTCTCCACAGGACTGGATACCCCCAGAGGGCAAAATGGCACCCACTCGCTTTTAACAGTTTCTCAGCACAGAGCTATGTTCATGGGGTGGCCCTTTCCTTCCTCTGCCCACCCCCACCCCACCCCCGCACCTCCCATCCCTACCCCAAGTACTCAGGCCTGCTCTGCCTTTCTACCCCTGCAGCATTCCTGTTTCTAAAGGCAAGGGCTCCCTAACCATTTGGGTACTGGTTTAGAGTCAAATATGGGATTTGCTTTAAATTGAGCTGGCTCTAGCATTCCAACCAGTGCATATGCACACCACACTGAGCATCATTAAAACATGCTACCTGGGGCGCCCCGGTGGCTCAGTGGATTAAGCCTCTGCCTTCAGCCCAGGTCATGATCCCAGGGTCCTGAGATCGAGCCCCGCATTGGGCTCTCTGCTCGGCAGGGAGCCTGCTTCCCCACCCCCCCTGCCTGCCTCTCTGCCTACTTGTGATCTCTGTCAAATAAATTAAAAAAAAAAAAAAAAAAATGCTACCTACATATTCTTTCTGGTAGGTGGCAGTTAAGTTTGAAAACCACACTCAGCACAAAGACCTGCTTCCTTTCCTGGATCTCTCAGCAACATGTCTGGGACCTGACCAAAAAAATTAAGCCTGGGGACTGCAATATTTTGGAAACAATAACCATCAAACAAGTTGTCAGCCATCCCCTTAGTGAGTTCTGAACCTTGTGTGAATTGCTTTGTATTTTACTATGTTCTCAACCCTCACACTCAGTTGAGAGCCACAGGCAAACCGATAAAGTTTATTTCTGGAGCCCCGAAATCCTCTCGGAACGAAGTTCCCTGGTACTTTCTTCCCTGGCTCCTTTCTCACCTGAGCCTGACCCACTCCATCTTGAGCCATACCTCTTTCCAGATTTCTCCCTCTTCAAAGCATCTGGTTTAATACTTAACCTGTTCTGCACCGTTTCTCCTTCTGCTTTTCAGAAGTCATGTAATGAGTTCATCAACCAAGTTATGGTCTCCCTATGAGACAAGTCCTGCCATCTATGTATCCAGATAAAATGCTGTTTTGGAAAATTGAGGTGTAATTTACATGCAATGAAATATACATATCTGAAAAACAATAGTAAAATAGTAAAACAATAGTAAAATAGTAAACAATAGTAAAATGTGTGTTTTAAGAATTGCATTTTGGAGAGTGATTATAATGGTGGGTTGTGGAGCTAGGGCCATCTGTTGGCGTAGAAGACTAGAAACCATGCAAGAAGAGTGGTCTGGGCCTGTTCTGACCACCCACTGACGGTGAGCCACTTCCCCTCTCTGCCCTCCATTTCCTTGCTGAAAAATACTGATTGGGTCAAATGGCTTCCGGAAGCCCTCTTGACCTTATTCTGTCACTAAATAGGGTTTGCAGGCAGGCACGTAGACAAGCTGGGAGATGTCCTTGAATGCTCCCCAGGAGGGTAACAGCTTCACTGCCTGTTTTTGTGTAGATAAGGGTTTGGCAAGCCATGGTAATTCTGAGGCAAAATAGGATTCCCCTGACTTTTTTGGTCAGCCCTCGAACTTAGAATGATTTTTACATTTTCAAATGGTTGAAAAAAAAAATCAAAAGAAGAATAATATCTCATGATGCATGAAAATTACATGAAATTCACATTTCAGTGCCCATAAATAAAGGGACATAAATTGGAACATAGCTACGCTCGTTCGTTTATGTATTTGCCTGCGGCTGCTTTTACACTACAATGACAGAGTTGAGCTGTTGCATCAAAGACCATGTGGCCCCCAAAGCTGAAAATATGTACTATCTGGGCTTTTACAGAAAAAGTTTATCAACCCCTGGCCGAGGCCATTTAGGTTATAGACTTTGGGCTGGTAGATCTGTCCCTTCCTACAATTAAGTGTTACTAGGAACATGGGCAGTATACACACAAGTAAATCAACATTTTGGGGTGGGAGGGACTTTCCACTTTGTAGTAATGAAAAGAAATGCAAAATAGAGTACACTAATAAAGGGCCTTTTTTGTTCTTGCTAGGAGAGCAAAAAGAAGAATAATAAAAGAACTTGGAGGGGCGCCTGGGTGGCTCGGTGCTCAGGTCATGATCCCAGAGTGCTGGGAACGAGCCCCACATCGGGCTCTCTGCTCAGCAGGGAGCCTGCTTCCTCCTCTCTCTGTCTGCCTCTCTGCCTACTTGTGATCTCTGTCTGTCAAATAAATAAATAAAATATTAAAAAAAAAAAAAACACTTGCAAAAAGACTAGAGAAAGCAAGAACAGTTAACATCACTATGAACTGGTTCACCTCTTCCTTCAAACAATCCAGCAGAATTATCGGTCATAAAAGTGTTCATACCCTTTGACCTAATAGTCCAACTCCTGGAAATCTATCCTAAGGAAACAATTAAAAGAGCATAAACACCATGTCAAGACGTTTGCATCAGCATTTTTCTAACAAAAGTTGGAAACAACCTGCAATGTTTAGCAATAAGAAATGAGTCAGTGGATTATGGTTCCTTAATTCAATGAAATATTATATGCCCAAGTAATAGACACAAAGACTAGGTTCATAAAACATTATTCTACAACAAAAGGCTACATAAAAATCAAGCAGGATAAAGTTTCGAAGACATCATGAAGGTGTAATTAACACTATGGTGAAGTGTTACAGAAAAAATATCTTATTTGTGAAGACCTGTGAACCAGCTTTGACAATTCCCCACACACTGTCCTTAGTTCTTTAATAACAAAAAGCCTTTGTAGGCAAGGACAGCCCACGCATGCAGAAGGAGAACAGAAGTGAGCCTCTGGTGACATGTTTCTTACAAACTGAGCAAATGATGATTAGTACTTTGGTCCAAATCGATTTATACCTGTAATCTCCACTTTAGAAAACTCAAATTCATCTCATCTCATTGCATACATGAATTATGTATAGCTGTCTGTATGTCAATGATGCCTCAGTGAAGTGCTTGAAAAAAAAGAAAAAACAAATTCCCAGTTTTCCTGAACCTTAAGGAACTAATAGGTGACTAAGAAAAAAAGAGGAACTTGATGAATATAAAAATTAGAATGACTGTAGTAATCCAGCCATTGTGTCTACCAATATCTTCAGTCTTTAGGCACTCCCTCTCCAGCTCCCCACTGCCTCTCCCTCTCCCACTCCCCCTGCTTGTGTTCACTCTCTCGCTGTCTCTCTCTGTCAAATAAATAAATAAAATCTTAAAAAAAAAAAGCAGACCAAAGATATTAATTAAGCAACAAGCTCTTCGTGTGTTTAAGAATCATAAAAATCATTGACATTACTTTTATGTCTACAATACAGAAAAACAAACCCTAATTTGGTCTTATTTCTATCGAGACACATCAAAATTTTCAATATTTTGAACACAATGGTCTTTTTTAAAAGCTGAGTACGATGAGCACTGAATCCTTTACAGAAGATACAATTTTAAAACATTACATTTTTCACTAACCATTTTTTGTCTCTTAGGCAATTATTTGAACCAAGTTTCGAAGGGTTTGAAAACATCGGAAAGCTGAGGAGGAATCACTGCTAATATCTAAGAAGAGAAAAAATTCGCACATTCTTAAAGAAAAAAAGCCACTTAGAGAATAGTGGTTTCTTATCCAGAGAAAGTAGGGAAATGTGTGTACCTTGAAACTTTTCCTTTTTAAATTTCATGCTTATGCAGAAGCTTTATAGTCCATGGAAGCAGTTTCTTATCCATAAAGGAGAAACTCACATTCCTGGTCTTATCCTTCTTGAAGAAGGCATTTTTCTAAGATACGCTCATAACTTCATGGGAGTGATGCTGGACACCCAAGAAACCTGGGTTCCCCTTGTCTCCTTCCAGCCTTCTCGGCACCTCGCACGTTCCCTCTCATCACCCTCTTTGCACCTGCTTTGAGGCGGGGAGGGCTGACAGCTGTCCCAGGCGGGAGTGGACCTGCAGCTCTAAGCATAGCGCCTTTGGCTAAGAGTAGGCACTCAAGCTGTATTTACTAAATTGAACTCAGGCCTTTGGGGGTTTTCTCACTTTAAACTTTAATATGTTCATCTATATGTTTCTCACTTTAATATGTTCATCTACAAGAAAAAGTTCCACAAAAATTCGAATAACCTTATCGAGAGTAGAAGATGGGCAAATATCAGATGGAAAGCCCCATCATACTTTCCTCTCTCCACGCCGAAGCTACTGGGGGAACAGAGAAATCTACTTCTCAAGTAACTGCTCTCCTCCTCACGAAGTTCATAAATTAGTGGCTAAAACCAGTCTGACATGAAACAACTGAACTGGAAGCTGGTTTTCGGTGGAGTGGATTGGAAAGAACAGGGTGAATCGGGGCTCCCCGGGCAAGGTCATCTCCGGAAGCATCTCCGGGAGCATCGGTCAATCACAGAGCAGCTCCCTGGGCAGGGTGTTGTGGAGGTCAGATGAAAGGGGGGCATTCCTAGCTGTCTACCAACCCTGCCAGGGGGAGGGATCCGGAAGCAGGAGGACCAGCAAGGGCATGGGGTTGGGGAGGGGGGCAGGTAGGAGGAAGAGTCGTAGGCAGCACCAGGGGCTACTGGAAGGGGAACCCGAGAGGTGGAAGGGGGTGGGATTAGGCTCGGACTGTGCGGCCACACCAAGCACCCCCTCTGTCGTAAAACCAGTGATCAGAGAAACTTACTTAATATTGAATTTTCAGTTTTGAAAACAGTTCTTCGGATTCCCAGCCTCATTGTTCCTCCCAAATTGCCAGGGTTGTGTTCGGGCATATCAATCACCTTAGAAAACAAAACAAATCCGGTTTTGCCATCTTACACAAATGTCATTTCCCATATCTCAAGCTTTACTTTCATTTTATTTTTTTGTAAAGATTTTATTTACTTGGGGCGCCTGGGTGGCTGAGTGGGTTAAAGCCTCTGCCTTCGGCTCAGGTCATGATCCCAGGGTCCTGGGATCAAGCCTGCATCAGGCTCTTTGCTCAGCAGGGAGCCTGCTTCCCCCCCCCCCGCCCCCGCCCTCTGCCTGCCTCTCTGCCTACTTGTGATCTCTGCCTGTCAAATAAAAAATTTTAAAAATTTAAAAAAAAGATTTTATTTACTTATTTGTCAGAGAGAGCGAGCACAAGCAGGGAAAGTGGCAGGCAGAGGGAGTGGGGGGAAGCAGGCTCCCCACTGAGCAAGGAGCCCCACTCAGGGCTCGATCCCAGGACCCTGAGATCATGACCTGAGCTGAAGGCAGAGGCCTAACAGACTGCGCCACTCTGGTGCCCCCAAAGCTTTACTTTTAGAGTAATTATCGTTGCGTAAGGATGTTCCCTAAAGAGTAAAACCTGATCGTTCCTTCCAATTTTCTTATTCGAATACAGCCATGCTTGACACACCCCTCACGGTATGCTTCCTGTTTGTCTCTGCTTCTCATCTTTCCTTCAAATCACTTGTAAAAAATTTATCAGGAGCCTCTTTATGACCTTCCTCCTGTCATTCCTCGAGCTGTCAGTTGCAGGCAATATTCACACTTCAAGTTCTGGACTTCTGGGACCTCTCACTTTGCTATTCACATCCCTCCCCCACTGCCCACTTCACTCCTTAAAGATTTTCCATAAGCAAATCCGCCAATCCTTGTGGAAAACTACACCAAAGATACTTTTTTGTAGAAAACCTTAGAAGGATTCCTTTAAACAAAAAGGAGGGTAATGTCCTCATTCTAGCACATTCTGTATGTCATAAACTTAAGCACTGCCCTGGATCTCTCCCTCTTCTTCGTCCCTCATCTTCAGTGTGTCCAGTTCTCTCCATTCACCCCCTCCAGATTTCCGACATCCATCCACTGCTCCAACCACCAACCAAACCACAGCCCCTCCCAGGGGCTTACCAGAAACTTACCAGAAGCCTACCCCTACCCACCCCAGTTCACATGGCCCCAGGCTACCCTACCCTGCACACTGCCAGCAAATGCAAAGTAGTTGTATTCCCCCATCTTGAAATCCTTGACTGCCTGGTATCAGCCCAGCCTACCCCTCCAGCCTCGTGTCCCAGGACCGTCCCCCGAGTTCTGGTCAGTGTGGCCTTCCTTCCCTTCCTCCAGTGCATCTTCTTTCCTCTCCCCATGAGGACTTTGCACATGCTGTTTCCTCTCCCCAGGACATCTCCCATTCCCCTACCTTCCTTTCCTAAATCAAACCAGCCTCAACCTTGAGATCTTAGCTCAACTATCCAGTATGAACTCCTATGGGGAGCTGATATTCCCAGGCTCTGTAGCCTAGTCAGGACCCCCAATCTCTGCCCCCTCCCCGAGCTGCCCTCACTTCATGTCTGTAGAGTGCTTTTGTGTGTCAGACTGTCCCTCCTTGACAGCTGGGCCAGTGCCGTCTTTCCTTACACGGCATTCCCAGCCCCTCGCATCAGTGGAACTGGCCCAGGGTATACACAGAATAAGTGCATGATGGAAGGAAGCAATGAACTCAGACCAAATAATTTCAGATTTATGTTCAATTTACTTCACAGAAATTCAGAAATACATGATTTTTATGAAAAGCCCATTCTCGTAAGTCGTTGTTCTGTTTTCCCAGTTCTAGACGCTATGATCTCATAGTTTTGTTTCATTTTTTTTTTTTTCTTAAGCTGTTAAAGACTATAGTTGGGCAAGGTAACCTGTTCTAATGGAACTACTCAGGTTCCCTCTCTTAAAACCTTTCGTCCAGTTTATTCCCCCCATACCTTAACTGCCGCGTATTACTCTATAGCAAGCCTGGACAACGGCAACTTCCTGAGGTCAAAATTTTCCCAGAACTTGTATGATCTTATCAGTGCCCCAGAACTTTCCAATCCATCTGAACCCTGTGTCCCAAGTACACTCTAAGAGTCACTGAGGAGAAGGGGTGGAGAAAAAACTTGATTACTCCCCTTGTTGGATGGAGTGCTCAGTTCTGAAGTGCTCTCGGCCTTGGCATCTCTTTCCTATCTTCTTTGGTTGGCTAATTATGGCTAGATTAAGTATTGCTGGAGGGAGGTGAGAGAGGGCATCAGCTTCCAGTTCTCAAAGCTAAGCTGTTTAGAAATGCCCAGCCCCTTACGCATTTTCTAGGAAAGGGCAGATAAGACTGCATTACCCACCATAGCCTCAACTTTCACTTATGTTTAAGACAACCTGAACCATGTAGGAAGAGCACAGCCATAAACTCCCCCCTGGTTTCTTATTAGTTCTGTGAGCGCTCAAACCACCCTTACTTCCTGCGTTGGACTCTTCTGCCCAGGAAGAGTCTCTGAACGTAGTTTGTATAGTTATTGGCGTGCTTGGTCTTCAAGAAATGTTCTGCTATGAACCACTAAGAAAACTGAAATGACCCACCTGCGGACAGGAAACCTGCCTTACTGCGTACTTGAGATGAACTTGACAAACACAGGACTAGAACATATTTCCAAAAGAAAAATGCACTGGGCACAGGGACAGCCTGAGGGTGTTAAATACTCCTCTAACATAAATGGAAATCTGGAAATCTCTGAGAAAGCGATATGAGAATATTATTTAAACACATGGAGGTAGTGGGCATCTGCCTGGCTCAGTCAGCAGAACACGTGACTCTTGATCTTGGGGTCTTGCATTTGAGCCCCATGTTGGGGATACAGTTTATATATACGCATAAAAATAATAAAACATGGAGGTAAATATCAGGAGAAACAGCTGGAAGACTTAACGGTGGCAGAGAGGGTGTGCAGATTACTAAATATTTTCATTATACACCTTTTGGAACACGTTGGCTTTGTAAACTTTGTACATAGCATTATTTTAATGAAAATATAAATTTAAAGCCCAAACAGTGAAATATATTATTTTGAACTTCCACAAGGGTATTAGTTCACATTATCCCTGCTGTTTTCAGAAGCAATAACTATAACCTTCTCCGGAAATGACAACACAGAAAGAAATCCCAAGGAATAGTAGCCACGGTGATCTTCTGATTAAAACGTATTAGCACAGAAACCACTGGAGAAAGCAAAGAAAATGTTAGAGAAAAGATGGGGGAGCCGAGACAAGTAGCTTTCTAATGGCAAATGATGTCCCCGAACGTCAGTGAAAGGCAAAAAGCAGAGCGAGAACTGGCCGGAGACTTGCTGTTCTCTCTAGTCTGGCTGAGCAGGCCTCATCCAGGGATGCTCGTTGGACCCTCAGTCAAAGAACCTCCAGGCCAGGCACAGGCTGGTGGAATCCAAACACACTGGAAGGGGAAGACTGCGGAAGGTAGAGGACACAGTGCGTTTCTGGCCGAGCCAGGCCCTGCCACCTGCCTTCAGTAACAGGTACCTCCCATGCTTGACTACCTCTTGGGTTATAAGCAACCTGATTCAGCGATGACATCAGGGAAAATATCTTTGTGCCTCATATCCCTTCCATGAAAAGCCTGAGAGACATCGATTTCAAAACATATCCTTTATCATGACTGGGATAGTTTAAAAAAAAAAAACCCTTGGGGCATCTGGGTGGCTCAAGAGGTTAAGCGTCTGCCTTAGGTCATGGTCTGGCTCAGGTCATGATCCCAGGGTCCTGGGATCGAGCCTCAAATGGGGCTTCCTGCTCAGCGGGGAGTCTGCTTCTCCCTCTCCCTCTGCTCCTCCCCACCCCTGCTCATTCTCTCGCTCAAATAAATAAATAAATAAAATCTTAAAAACAAAAACCCCTCAAATGTGCTTTAGTTTAAATCCTGACATTTCCGGGGCGCCTGAGTGGCTCAGTGGGTTGAGGCCTCTGCCTTCGACTCGGGTCATGATCCCAGGGTCCTGGGATCGAGTCCCGCATCAGGCTCTCTGCCCAGCAGGGAGCCTGCTTCCTCCTCTCTCTCTCTGTCTGCCTCTCTGCCTACTTGTGATCTTTGTCTGTCAAATAAATAAAATCTTTAAAAAAAAAAAAAATCCTGACATTTCCAAAATCTCCCAGATTTGCATCTAGGAGGAAAATGCCTCTTCCACTGCAAAAGGATTGCCTTGGCCTGCTCTGATTTTACCTTGGCTGTTGTCCGAACCCCACTACAGGTCTGTCCTTCCTTGGAAATGAGCCAGCCATACAGCGTAAGAAAAATAAAAAAGAATCAATAAGTAACGAATGCTGGTGGTGATAAAGCTTTAGATGTAAAAGCACCACATAAGGATAAAGACAGCACTAATTAACCGTTACTGAAGTTTCTGCAGCCCACGATAAGAGTGTAATGGGTTCAAGACTGGGTTCATGCGTCCCACATGTCTTAACGACAAAGTCTAGGGAAGTTAGTTTCTCTTATCAAAGATGAAATTCCAGTGTGTGGAGTAGGTCAGTTTCCCTCCTGTCCCTTGCCTCTGGACATCTGGGGACACTGAAGGAGCCTACCCACCCCCCACCCCCCACAGCAGGCTGCTTCCAGGCTCTTAGGCAACACACAGTAATTTTTCTCAGACTTTGTAGTATATTCCTCTGGTATATTTCTAGTATATTCCTCAAGTACTCTTTTTTTTTTTTTAAAGATTTTATTTATTTATTTGACAGACAGAAATCACAAGTAGGCAGAGAGGCAGGCAGAGAGAGAGAGAGAGAGGAGGAAGCAGGCTCCCTGCGGAGCAGAGAGCCCGATGCGGGACTCGATCCCAGGACCCTGGGATCATGACCTGAGCCGAAGGCAGAGGCTTTAACCCACTGAGCCACCCAGGCACCCCTCCTCAAGTACTCTTTACAAGGATTTTCCCGACCCATTCCTTTCCTCCTGTCCATTAGTTTTTTCTGGTCATTTTTTTTTCAAGCCTGCTTCTGATGT